TCTGTATTTATTGCTTGTCTCTCTCAATTGAAACTCTAAGTGGAAAAGGATGTTGATGCCTGATATCTCTGCTGTATGCCAGGTATACAGTAGGTGCTCAATAAATTAAATCAAATGAATGAGGAGTGTGACATAAGCGAAAGAGTCACATCTGAAACCTCTGGGCAGCTCATGAGACGCTACTTAGACATTGTCAAGCCAATAGACACTTTTTTTTACCCCATTCCTGGAGACTGAACCCGCTACCTTCACATCCAGCCACATCCCCAGCCCTGTCCCCCTTATTTTTCCATTTTGAGACAAGGTCTCACTAAATTCCTAAGTTGCCCAGGCCAGACTCAAACTCATGATCCTCCTGCCTCAGCCTCCAAGACTCTGGAATTACAGGTGTGCACCACCTGGCCCAACTCAGTAACCATGTGTTTAACGCTTAAGGATCATGCAGGAGGCAGAAGAAAGACAACCAGTTGCTATGGAGAAGGCCCACTGTGTATTGCAGATTGCCGGCATGAGCCTCATGGCAGCTAGCTCAGGTTTGTGCTTGTACTGGTTACCAAGTGTGCTAAGTTCCTGTCTCACTCCCTGCACTGGGAAAACAGCCGCCACTGCACAAGGTGGCTGTGAGGGTTGAAGGAGAATCCATTAAAGCCCCATCCTAGCATGTGGTACATGAGGAACAACACCCAGATATGGGTGAGGGATAATCACCAACAGCCTTCTAAACTTTGTTCTGGGATGGAACCCACCAACCTCCTCCATCCCCTGGAGGAAATTTACAAAATCTTGATGTCTGGCTCCACCCACCGAGACCCTTATTTAATTAGTCTGGGGTGCAGACAGGACATGGGAATTTAAAAATCTGTCCCCTCCTACCCACCAGCATCTCAAGTGCAGCCAGGGTTGAAAATCACTGCCTTTCAGACACTTCCAGAGTAAACAATGAGAAGGCCAGAGTTAGAATTTGGAATTACCATCACTTTTCTTTGGTTAAGAGTTGCTGGATAATTTCTGGGTGCCATAATATGCTTCTCTAGTCCCAGCTACTTGGGAGGCTGAAGTAGGAGGATCACTTGAGCCCAGAAGTTCAAGGTCAGCCTGGGCAACATAGTGAGATCTTAGCTCTTAAAAAATAAAAAAATAACGCCGGACGTGGTGGTGCACACCTGTAATCCCAGCACTCGGGAGGCTGAGGCGGAAGGACTGTTCCGAGTTCGAGACCAGCCTGGGCTACAAAGTGAGCTCCAGGCCAGCCTGAACTACATAGCGAGACCCTGTCTCAAAAAAAAAGAAAAAATAAATAAAAGAGTACCTGGATCCCTAATGTCTCTACAACCACCAGCACATGAATGGATTTCCCTGTGGGGCGTTTTCTCCCGCCTCTTTACCCTCCATCCTTCCTCACACATGCCTTTCACATTCTACTTTAAAGAAGAGTTCAGGATCAAGCACGTTCATTGACAGCGAATGTTGAGCATTTAAAGCAATCGTAGGAAAAAGTTAATGTGCAATGGTGTCATGTCTAGCTCTCACCTTTGGGGACGGTGCATTATAAAACATCAGTCAATTAACATTAATTGTGAACTGGAATGAGATTCAGAATTCACAAGGTCATGATTAGTTGAGCCGAGAAGTGGCTCCAGTCAGGATGTTGGCAGCGGATCACAGACGGACTTAATGTGCCTCGCTGCAGGGAAGGTGCCCTTTTATCTTGTACACCCGGGCTTCTCTGTCTTCCCCGGAGCTCTTACCACACCAAGCTTCCCTCCCCTGCGCTCAGCACCATGTTAGCTCTCAGACGGCTTGGAATGAAGTTCCCTGGGATCACCACCTACGTCTCAAATCAGTTCAGAACAATCGAACTTATAAACACTTTATATCGGCAACTGTAGAGACAGCAAAGTATTGTGGTCCCAAAATAAAGTAACTCTGTCTCAGGTGTCTTATAAATTATCAGATTGGAGCCCACAAAATAGCACCTCGTGTCAAATAGAATCACATACATCTGCAGTTCTGCTTATTAAGAGTGCACATTTGTGCCCTTTTTTCTGTGTGTAGTTTCCACTGAGGTTGGAAGTAAATATATTTAAGATGCCAGTTTCTGGCTTCAATGAATCATTGGGTTGGGGCACACATACACCACACTATTTATCAGAAGTAGTTAGATGTGATGAGCTGGAAAGTGATGAAGAATTATTTTTATCTATGAAAAAACAGACCCAAGGTACCGACACTTGAACTCAGGACCTTACACTTGCCAGGCAGGTGCTGTGCTGCTGAGCTATCTCCCCAGCCCATTGTCTGATCTCTTAACCAAAGGGAAAAACATGACTTCATTTTCTCTCTCTGAAACATCCTAAGGAGACACCAAGTGGACTGTAGCTCTGGAGAATCTCACTGAAATAGGGTAGATCCAGGCAAATCAATTACACTGGGCCTCAGTTTGTCATCAAATAAAACTGTAGTGTAGAAGCCACACACACACACACACACACACACACACACACACAACAAACTCTTACACATATAGAAGGATTTAGATTAAACATTTAGCATATAATTACTTAAATTTGAGTAATGTGTTCCTGACATGATGGGATATGAATCAAATGTCACTGTAACGGCCTAATCTGAAAATACCAAAATCCTACTTTACAGTCATTTCTGTGAGGAAGTTAATTTTAGATTTGAAAGTTGTTAAATTATGCAATGTCTCCAGAAGATCATCTCTTAAAAACTAGCCACAGTGGGCAAAATGTCAGGGGATATGTCGTATGACTGACACTAGAAGGGAATGCCACAGCCAGTTTTCTTCAATTATTTCTTCCAATTTGAGATGTAAGAGTGATGCTTCAATTCAGTGACCAAACTGGAGAGAGGAAATCTGCCAATCTGGTAAATGTTTTAAACATACAGTATAACTGAGCCTTATTCCTTTAAGGCCCAAATGCTTCATTTTGAAAATCAGCTGGTTCTGACTTGTATCCTCCCACTTTCCTTGGAGGATACAAACTGTGGCTGTCATTCTATACTCCTGTGTTCCTCCACAGGGCCCTCCACCTTGCTTGCTTATTTGTTTATTTATTTAGTACTGGGGATTGAATCCAGGGCCTCTGCACTGAGCTATACCCCCAGCCTTTTTCCCGCCCTTATTTTCAGACAGGGTCTCCTAAATCACTAACTAGGCCCGCCTCGAACACGTGACCCTCTTCTCTTATCCTCCCAGGGTGGGATTACAGGCATGAGGCACCACACCCACTGCATGTTTTAACCACTTGTAGACTACACTGCAGATAGCTAAGATTTTCAAAGGGCATGAATTAAATAAAAACCAGGCCTTGAATTAAGGCCAGAGCCTTACTCATAGCAAGTAGAAAGCTTCTGTGAAGGGCATTTTGGCCACTCAGAGATTTGGGGGACCAGTGGCCTCTGGCTGTGTTGGCTTAGGACTTCATCTGAGACAGTGGAGCCTGAACCCCACTCTCCCAAAGGACCCTCAGCTGAGCAGGGGTGCACCTTGCAGGTCCCAGTGGAACCCTGCCATATCCTTGGGGGCAGCTGGAGCCAGGCCAAGGCCTTACGTCCTATTTACTCCTGAGTGACCCTGTAACGCCTCCCTCACCACATCTGTATGGTGAATAAATGAGCAGAGCTATTGAGCAGGCCCACCCTGAGCTCCCCACCCCTGTACAGCATTTAAAAGAGCACCTGGCATACAGTAGGTGCTCAGTCAGTGGCCACTGAGTCCACTCTCTTGTTTGTTTATGGAAAATAAGGCAAACAAAACCTGCAGGCTGGGCACATGCAAGACGCTGCAGGCACCAGTCCCAACAGCACCGTTTCTGCTCTCAAGAGCAGCTCGGGGGTGCCCAGCGCACATGCACATTACCAGCTGTCAGGAAAGTTTATCCCCTTTTGACACTTCTACGGTTGTTTGTTTGTTTGCAGCACTGGGAATTAAACCCAAGGCCTCATGCATGCCAGGCTTCTGTTCGTTTTGACACAAGTAAAAATTTCTGGAGACAACAAGGAACTTGATTAAAATTCATCTACGAACTAATTACGGCCCTAACTCATACAAGAACTTCAAGGGTTTATAGCTGTTCCTAAATAAATTTCTTCATTTTTATTTTAGCTAACATGCCACATTAATGTGGAAGGTATTAGTCCTTAAAATTTAAATATAGATTTTTTTATTAGAAAAAATATGTATACAGGCTAGGGGTGTAGCTCAGTGGCAGAGCACTTCCCTAGCATGCCTGAGCCATGGGTTCCATCCCTGGGTCTGCGAAAATAGACGGTGCAGAGGGGCAAACTGATGCTTCTGTAGACAACACACTAAAAGCCCTGCTGGGCCCTTCACAAGCAAAGGCGGGTTAGCACAAAGAAAGTACTCTTCAAAGACTCTCATGAAATTTTGTGAAGTAAATCTTTCCTGCACTTCTCCATGGCAAGTAGTACGGAAAGTTGCTCTGTTCTGCGGGACAGATTTTAAAAGTTCATGTCAGGCTTTCCCTCGGGTTACGCAGCAGGGGATGAGAAGATGGTCTTCTGCCACCCATGAGGTGGCGGCCCAAGAATTCCCATCAACATTCACAAGTGTAGCCATGAGTGGCCTTTAGGAAGCTTGGCCCCTGGGCACTTGAGGAGATCAGGAAATGTGCCACGCAGGAGATGGAGCTCCAGATGTGCACATGGATACCAGCCACAAGAGCGCTGTCTGGGCCAAAGGGATAAGGAACGTCCCACGCTATATCTGAGTGCACTGTTCAGAACACATAACGAGGATAAAGAGACACCAAACAAGCTCTACAACCTGATTACCTATGTACCTGCTACCACCTTCAGAAACCTATCATCAAGATACGTAAGACTTAACCACTGATCGTCACATAAAATTATAAAACCACACACAAAAATAAATAACAAACTCTTCAAATTAACTTCAATTTGGCACATTAGTTATTCACTGCACCCTGACGTCTTCAGGGTGGACCACTTACCTGAAAGGGGATCTCCAATACTGTCTGGAAAGCCATTTTCTTCTGCCTAAAAAAAAAAGGTGACCTCATTAAAATGAGAACCATATGTGAACGGGGGACGATGGATCTTAAGAATGGCACCTTAATGGTGGGGGCGGCTGTGTGACGCTCCTCAGAGCACTGAGCTTCTCAGGGGCCAGCTTTGTGTATTAACTCCCTGGGCTGTGTCCCAGTGCTCAGAGCAGAGCCTGCAGGGAAAACACTCCAGAAGCGGCTGTGAAATCTACTAGTGTCCTGTTTAAAACAATGTATCAATGCATGCAGCTATGTACTACTGGGTTTTTTTCTTATTTTACATTATGAGTTATTCACTTTATGTTATTTCCAAATGGCTGGGTTTGTTGTCAGGCTAGGTAACAATGCTTTACCTTATTTATTATACTGATTTATTTGAGTATATATTCCAAAGAAGTTAAAGGGAACTGAAAAAGCAACACCCAATCCCTGCAGAGGCACATCTGTTCTTAAAACGAAGGCCAGCTGTGGTGTGCAAGATGGGAGTTTACTCTGATCTCAGAGCGGGGTATGTGTACGTGCACGTGTGTGAGTCCCAGCACACCTGTGCTTATGCGAACTGCATCATCTTCATACGACTAAAATCACCCCATCAACTATGCTCGCCCCTCAATTCATGGCACGAGGGGTGTTCACAGCCCCAGCTGATGGCTTCGGGCCCCCCCACTAGCACTGGCCTCCCCTCCGTAGGGGCAGGCAGAGCTGCCTGCTGGCTTAGCCCAACTCTAGGGGTCTTTAGCTCTCAGGCCTCTGAGAGCGTCACCCTTTGTTAAAGAAGTGCTAACAGCACAATGTCAATGTGTTTTATGAATTTTCAACAACTGTCTCTCTCCTGTAGTTTTCTAAGAAGCCTGTCTCTTCAACCTAGGCTGGCCAGTCCCATGTCTCAGCACTGCGTACACATTTGCCTAATCACAAATCTAATCTTTTTTCCTCTTTTTCCCCCTACTCAGAAGGATTTCCTGTCTTAGCTAGATGCTCCCCCTAAGGAATCCCAACAATCCCTGCTTTGGTTTGAGTCCCATTCCTTGTCACTCACTGTCTTTACTGGACCAACATTACAAGGACAAAAACCAGCTGCACATCAAAATTCATACAATGTCTTTTCATCTTCTTGAAGTTGTACTTTCTCCCCACATTTGCTTTACTTGGGCAGAGGTGTGTGTATAAGAGAAAGATAGACACAGAAA